ACTTTAACATAAAAACAGTCTTAGACTTACAGTTCTTAAACATAACTTATTCAGTAGCATACCTCATTGATATACCGTATTTGTGCAGAGTTGGATATAGAGTGAATTTCAAGAAATAAAACTCCAGTGATTTCTGTTATAGTCGTAGATACATTTCCATAGGTAACCAAATGGAATCTAAATAAAAATAAATTACATATTAAAACACAGAAAAAATTGTATATTAAAGGGGGAAGTTGTTATACAACTTGTGTTACATTAAATGTTATAAAATATAAAACATAAATCATTTGCTGAAAGGTAAAAATATACCAGAAATGGTATTTCTTTAGGAGATTTGCTGATTTTATTCCATGATCTGGATAGTCACTTTGTTATACTAAGATGTTGATTCCGTTTATCTTTATTCCTAGATAAAGTCTTTTAAAACTTTTATTTTGAACTTGGGATACTTTGCAGTTTTTTTGTGTAGTAGCCCTGATTAAGGTTACTAGTCTTCAGTATGATAAATACTGCCTTGCTGACTTTCGGGTATCCTTTAAAAGATAATTTCCATAACTTCATGAATGTTCACCATCACATTTTAATTTTCTTTTAAGCCAGAGTGGGTATAGAGGGTCTCTAAATAAGATGTCATAAAACAGGCCAGTTGTGGTGACTCCCAGCATTTAATCTGCTAACCTTTTGAGCACACTATTATGAATTACTTGGCAGCTTCTAGGTACTCTGGTATGTAATTTTAGGGGGGAAATTTTATATATGTGTGTATACATATATTTTTTAATTTTTGTAGAGATAGGGTCTCACTGTGTTGCGGAGGCTGGTCTTGAACTCTTGGACTCAAGCAATCCTCCTGCCTCGGCCTTCCAAAGTGCTTGGATTACAGTCGTGAGCCACCATGCCCATATGGAGTTATCTTTTAAATTTAAGAATTTCGCCGGACGCGGTGGCTTACAGCTGTAATCCCAGCATTTTGGGAGGCTGAGGCGGGTGGATCACCTGAGGTCTGGAGTTTGAGACCAGCCTGACCAACATGGAGAAACCCCGCCTCTACTAAAAATACAAAATTAGCCGGGTGTGGTGGCGCATGCCTGTAATCCCAGCTACTGGAGAGGCTGAGGCAGGAGAATTGCTTGAATCGGGGAGGCGGAGGTTGCGGTGAGCTGAGATTGTGCTATTGCATTCCAGCCTGAACAGTAAGAGTGAAACTCCATCTCAAAAAAAAAAAAAAAAAAAAAAAAAAAGAATTTCTATATGTTTTATTTAGATTTCCAGACATGCATATATGCAAGGCCCATAGAAATATAGAGTGATTCATTTTCTAATTAAATGTTGAAAAAAATCAGATTCAAGTACTGTAAGTGAAAGAAAAAGCAAGATATAAGACAATGTCTATACTGTGTAACCATTTGAACAAAGAGAAGGAAAAGTGTATATATTTGTGTTTTATTCTGTATTAATTTTAAAAAATCTTTAGAATAAATTAGATGAGACTGCTAAAAGGTGTTGCCAGTTAGAGAGCAGGGTTGGGACCCAGACAGGTGGAGGATAATGGTAGAAGAAGGATTTTGAATATATTTAGTTTTTTTCATTTAAATGTATTTGCTAAATTTTCAATATCATAGCAACTTTAAACACCTTTATTGAGGTATAAGTGACACAATAAACTGTACATGTTCATACTATATGTACATTTTTAGACTTTTTTGAACCATATGAATATATTACCTATTTAAAAATCTAAAGAAAATATTTAAAACTTTAACAGTTGGCTAAATAAATAGATAAATAGCAAAGCTGGTTTACTCTGGATTTTGTTCTATGGACTTGGGCCTTTGTGGTTCATTGTAAGAATTTTTATTCCCCTTGACTTATAGAAATTCTGGGTAAGGTTAGCTTGGTGATATTGCAAGCAAAATATTCTCTTGTCATCTTTCAAATGTTACCTAATGCAAAGGATTTTGAAAACAAAACAGTAAATACAGAGAAATTTTAAAAATTAGAGTTGTAGCCAGTGATGGGGATTTAACCAAAATTCTCTGTGTAAATAAAAGAGATTAAGGCCATTGTTACTTTACCCTCCATGATCCCTTGGCAGGGCTCTGCCTGTCACCTCACCCATTTAGGACTACAGAAAATTAAACGTTGGGCATGAAGTCCTACCAGGAGGACTCCGGCTGGCCTCAGTACAGCACTGAAAGAATGTAACTTCACCCTCACTTCACTTTCACCCCTGTGCTTCACTTACATTCTCAGGTTAGAGTCATTTTGACCAGGCCCTTTCTTGGTCAGGGAAAGGGTCTTTTTGTATCTGTAACTACACTCTGGTTCTGTGGGCAAGAATGACATTTTCTGCTCTGTAGAACCGTTTGTTGTAACCTGTCTTTGGGTTTATGAGAATTGGCTGAGGGCAAGCAAAGATGAGAACTTTCTAATTCAACTTTTGCATGTTTGCTGACTTCTCCCTCCTTTTGTCCCTTGATCTGCTAACCCAGATAATTGCTTTGTCCCATCCGGATTTTATCTCTTTGAGAGGAGTCATTCAGACTCAGAGACCCAGTGCCATTGTTGGAATCAACTTGCTCTTGTTCTTGGATTTCCACTTTCTGTGCCACCTGGGTACCCTCATGGACAATTGGCATCATTCTTTCCCAGTCCAGTTCCATTATGGGAACCAAGTACTTAGGGAAAACAGGGTAACCTAGTAGTAGAAGACCTGGTTTGGGAATCAATCTGAGTACAGGACCTTACATTGCCATGAATTCTGTCACTGAGCAGGCAGAACCTGATTCAGTGGTATGGCCTTGGTAGGTGCTTTGCAGAAGTTTATTAGTGGATTGACTAGGACAAATTCTCTTACAGTTCTTTCAGTTGAAAATAGAGATGACTTTTGTATTTCATTGCCATAGAGCTATACTGAAAATAATACATTAATGAAAGTTGTTTCTTGGAAAATAAGAAATGGATATATAATGTATTAAATGGAGCTGGTTTGTAAAATGTGGTGTGGTTGAGACAGTATCTCAGGTGCCTTCTAACTCCCTGTGTGTCAGCCTCTGTGAGAAAGGGCACAGTTTGGTTGCAGCTGTACTACAGGAGGATGGAATTACATCTGTTTTTATCTGTGAGTGATGTCTTTTAGATGCCAGATGCAAGCCAGCTTTGTTTGCCATTGGCATCTATAGGGTATTTTTCCCTCCTGTCTCTCTGTGATGCAGCATTCAATAAATTATATTATCTTGTCCTCAGACCAAAATTTGAAGAGACAATAATGTCTACATTTGGTAGGGGAAGAAACTGTGGTTTAGAGAGGTTATGTGATTTGTCCAAGGTTACATAAGTAAATGACAAAGCTGCATCTCTGTATATCATGCTCCCCCTTCTGTGTCCATGCTTTAGCTTCTAATTTGTAAGTACAGAATTAGGAAACATGACCTAAAGGTTTTTAAAGGCTCTGACATCCTGATCTGAAATCAGCTAATCAAATAATTATTTAGAGTCTTAAATTGTTTTTGGAACAAGGAAGAATTTACCTACTATAATAATAAATTGAGTATATTATGTCCAAAGTACTGTAGAAGTAAGAAATATAATAAACTTTTGCCATCAAATAGTTACCCTCTAGGCTAGGTGCAGTGGCTCATACCTGTAGTCCCAGCACTTTGGGAGGCTGAGATGGGTGGATTGCCTGAGCCCAGGAGTTCAAGACCAGCCTGAGTAACATGGCGAAACCTGTCTCTACAAAAAGTACAAAAATTAGCCGGGCGTGATGGCGTGTGCCTGTAGTCCCAGCAACTTGGGAGGCTGAGGCAGGAGAATCACTTGAGCCCCGGAGGCGGAGGTTGCAGTGAGCTGAGATTGTGCCACTGCACTCCAGCCTGGGTGACAGAGCAAGACCCTGTCTCAAAAAAAAAAAAAATTTACCCTCTAGAAGTTCAATGCCAGAAGTAGACATGTAGTTTTCTGTAGTAGAGGATTTCGTATAAGCAGAGATGGACTAGGAATCTGAGAGTATTGAAGGTCAAGGTGAAGTTCAAGCAATAAGCACAGAACTTCAACTAGTGTTAATTAGAAAGTGATTGATTAAAGGAGCTTGGCAAGAAAGGAAAGCACTGAGTCCAACTTTAAGGGCTCTGTATGTCTGGGTTGCTAACTTAAAGTTCCAGGTTAAGGGGTGAGATTTTTTTAAGACTAGGAGTTAGTGATTCTCTGAAGAATGAAGCAGGAAAAAGTGAAGGATAAGCTTCCTTAAGCAACTTGGTGGTAGGGAGGCAGCCTCCGGAAGGAGACATGCCAGGGTCATGGTTGTGAGCTTCGGCACTTCACAGTCCTAGCTCAGCAGCTGCTGTGACAAACATATCAGTTGTTTTTGTCCTTCCTCTTCCTTAAAAGATAGCTGAAATTTATAGAACTTCCAGTTTTCCTGCATCTTCTCTCCTCCATGAGGGCAATTTAAAAAGGCTGCTGTTTGCGCCCTGGTACTCGCGTGAGCTCACATGTGCACACATATACGCCTACCCACTCATGACAGGAATTCTCAAGCCATTTCAGAAGAGATTTTTTTTTTTTTTTGTCCTGATAAGACAGGATTGCTAACTTGGTCCTCAGCTGCTATTTGTGGGGTTTCAATAAATAAGCAAATAAAATATAGGAAAACTATTTGGAATAATAATACTTCAAGCAGCTTTTGATAGCCCTTTTAATTCCATACTACAGGTCATTTAGTTCGGAGCCCTGGGTGTTTATAATTCATGATATGTCTTGTTTTGTTTTCTTTGAGTTTTTACATTTTGAAGTAAAATGGAATTATCACTAGTACATTTTTCTGAAGCCATACCAATTTGTCCTTTTTATTTGTTTGTTCAAATGAAGCAGTGCATCAAGTGTGGAATTAGATTAATGGAGTAAATATTATGAATCATACACTCTCTCTAATCTGACACTCTTTCTTCTTCTTTTGACCTCACGTTTTTGTTTTCTGTCTTTCCCTCTCCGCGTAGGCTTTCAGTCCAGTGTAAAGCTGTTGGAGCGCGGGAGCAAAGGTAAAGAATGATGTAATGCGCTGGCTGCCCCAAAGCATCTTTTGTTGTGGAATGGTTATTCCAGTCATCTCTTTATGAATCAAATGTGAGGGGCTGCTTTGTGGACGGAGTCCTTTGCAAGAGCACATCAACGGGAAAGAGAAAGAGACATTCACTTGGAGGGCTCTTGCTGAAAATGGGTTTAACTCTCCTTTTGCCAGTCACCACCAGCCTGACCTCATACACTTTTAGTACAATGGAGTGGCTGAGCCTTTGAGCGCACCACCATTACATCATCGTGGCAAATTAAAGAAGGAGGTGGGAAAAGAGGACTTATTGTTGTCATGGCCCATGAGATGATTGGAACTCAAATTGTTACTGAGAGGTTGGTGGCTCTGCTGGAAAGTGGAACGGAAAAAGTGCTGCTAATTGATAGCCGGCCATTTGTGGAATACAATACATCCCACATTTTGGAAGCCATTAATATCAACTGCTCCAAGCTTATGAAGCGAAGGTTGCAACAGGACAAAGTGTTAATTACAGAGCTCATTCAGCATTCAGCGAAACATAAGGTAAATGCTTTCCTTTTTGCCTTTTTAAAATAAATGGACACACTGAATGGGGAATAATTTTAATTGAAGCCTCCTCTTTAAGTAGAGAAAGTAATTTGAGGAAGTTTTGGTTGCTTTTTAAATTTTGATGCCTTGTGGTATCTCAAAATAATTTACTGTCCATATTGTCACATTTAATAATATTTCTAAACTATGCAGAAGGATTAACTTGCTTTAGTTTGGACAAGTGCTGTATTTTCTTGTGGCTTGCTAAAATTATTTTATTAAACACTATTTTATATTATCTGCAAATTTACTGAAAGGAAAGTCATTCTTTTCAAGTTCTTTGGAAAGAAAATAGGAACTAATTATTAGGGGTGCTTTTTATATGTCATAACACATGTGGTAACACTGGTCAAGACTTAATGATATTATCTTCAAGGAAAGTTATTCCTGGGATACTAAAATGTTGTCTGTGTAGTGAGGAAGGCTGTTTTTTTCTTGACTAATACAAATGAGCTCATGTTTTAATTCAAATAAACAACTGATATCTTTGTTAAGCTGTAAAAGTCATTTTTACAAAAGTTTGTTTAGGTCCAGGGTTATGTTTATTTGCGTATTGTTTGGTTTATTTTGAACTTTACCATTTTATAGCATAAAGGATTTAAAACCAGGGAATTGTGAGACCACCTACACAGAAACAGCATTGGTTTTGGTTTTTAAGAGTTTTGTATGCTGTCTATCCATAAATTGACTACATCTCATTTTTATTCAAATTATTAATTGAAAACAGGAAGCAATTATTTGCCTCAGCACTGGTAAACGTGAGATCTTACGCAGTAGTTTGAGATTACTTTTCTCACCTTCTTCCTAAGAAGCCTCATGTTTGCATTTCAGGTTGACATTGATTGCAGTCAGAAGGTTGTAGTTTACGATCAAAGCTCCCAAGATGTTGCCTCTCTCTCTTCAGACTGTTTTCTCACTGTACTTCTGGGTAAACTGGAGAAGAGCTTCAACTCTGTTCACCTGCTTGCAGGTAAGGCTCGTGATGGAATTAAAAGGACCCAGAATCTTGTTGAGCTGTGTAAGTAAGCATATTTCACAGTGAGCTCACATTACAATAGATCATCCCAACTTTGGTGTGTAAAATGACTTATTTATAGCTTTTGATTGATGTCACTGTCCTATTTAACTGGAATACTATATCATTCTTCCACATGGGTCGGTGTATTTTTGACTTAGCTCAAGTGCCTCTTCACTTGGTATTAACTGGTAGTGCCACACAGATTTGCACACCCATATGGATAGCTCAAAGCCAGCTGCTTCTGTCTGCCTTTTTCCATTCACCTGTGATAAAAGAACATCAAATGACGAACACCTCAGCTCCCGCTGTTAGTTCCCGTCCCTGTGGCAAGAACCAGACCAATATTACAGTGTCAGACTCTTACTTAACGTTTATAGTTGGAGCGGACTCCAGAGATAAGGTCACCTTTCTGGGCATTATGAACAATGAAATAGGGGGAGAATGTGTGCAGAATGTTTCTTCTGGTAAGTAGGGGAACTGTTTTAAAAGTTACTTGTGTATTTTTATTTGTTTTATAATTTTAAAAAAGTCTCAATGTAGAAATGCTAAGCAACCAGATGATTTTATAAAATGTGTGGGAAGGACCAAATATTCTATATCTGTCCTGAAGGACGGCATCATAGGAGTTAATCCCATCAGATTCCAAAGAAGGCTGTTCATCCTTTGCTTCTCGTTTTGCAAATGAAAATCCTTTCCCTGGGAATATAGTTTGACAGCACACAATAGCCTTAACATAAAGCTGCTGTGTTAGGCAGATTCAGCTTCAATGATAGACAAGAGTGCTCTTAAACATTTGATCTAAGAAAAACAAAAGATTAATTAGTTGTTGGTGTGTTAATAATTTTAAACTCTGTGCAGGTTTAGATAAGATTTCCATGTCTCCCGTTCTCTCTCACAAGGTTTTCCTCAGTTCTCTAAGAACCAGGATAGTTCCATCTTTTTCATTGTCTATCTGTACACCTTTCATTTATGCTGTGATTCCGTCTGATCTTTCAATTAGTGTTCTTAAGTGAAGCCAGCTTGTCTTAGAATCTAGTTTTCAGAAGTCTGTAACTGAGAATTGTAATATTAGATTCTGTCTCTGTTGATAGACACATTCGTTTACTGGGAGTATAAGTGTGTTAAATATAACAACTATTATTAGCATTTCACTAAACGAATGTGGTGAGTTTAGGAACTCATTTCATGTTTCACATGGCCACTGCATGAGGGACTTTACCTTGGAATCTTGTTAATGGGATCAGGGTATCAGGGTTTTTCTTCTTCTTCTTCTTCTTTTTTTTTTCGAGATGGAGTTTTGCTCTGTCGCCCAGGCTGGAGTGCAGTGGCGCGACCTTGGCTTGCTGCAACCTCTGCTTCCCAGGTCAAGCGATTCTCCTGCCTCAGCCTCTCGAGTAGCTGGAATTCCGAGCACCTGCCACCACTCCTGGCTAATTTTTGTATTTAAGTAGAGACCAGGTTTCACCATGTTGGCCAGTTCTAGTTTCGAACTCTGACCTCAGGTGATCTGCCTGCCTCAGCCTTTCAAAGTGCTGGGATTACTGGCATGAGCCACCACGCCCAGCCAGAGTTTTTCTTAAAGAAGCAGTATACCAAGATGTCCTTCGTGACAGAGTGGTTATCCTGCCCTGCTCTTGTTTGAGACACTTTTACCCCACGGGGAGCCCTTACTGAACATCTCGGTCAAGTAGACGCCCCCCAGAGGAGTGAGCTCACATGGAGTTTCTAGCACAGGTGCTTTAGCCACTTGTTGTTACTCCTTTACCAGAGAGCTTTCCTGTGTTACCTGGGAAGGTTCTTATCGATCCTGTGTAGCCTTGGGAGGGGCACTCACTGGGCAATAAGGAAGAAACAGGACTGCCTGATTAGCTATGTCAACTCTAGGGACACATGGTATGACACACTGAGTCAGAACACCCTGACATCCCCGTTTCATACAGGAAGTGTTTCTTAGGCCTAAAGGAAAGTCTGTGGAGGCCGCGCCAGGAGCCACTTTAACTGTATTAGTAGCACGATATCTTCATCCACACCTCCAGAATCCGGTGTTTCTATTAGCTTAGGAGGTGACTTCAGGGTCTGAATTGCTTGTTTGGGAGTTTCTGAGCAGCTGGATTTCTTGTGACACCTCAGAGGGGATTCTAGATGATTAGAAGCCTTCCCAGTCATCCAAAAGCAATTGGGGATTCTTTTGGTTAGTGAATTTGTTCCTCAGGTTAGGTAGATCATTGGGGTAAGTGGATAACAGTATTGGAGAAAGTTTGGCCATCAATTCTTGGGAAACTGTTTTATTGCCACGGTCCAGCTGCTCAGAGGACAAGCCAGGGATGTGGGACAGAAGGACACATTGACAAAAGTTTCTTAAATGTTTTGGTTGGGGAGAAATAACTGAAAAGCGCGCTAGTTTCTCACAGGGGCTACCGTAAGTTACAAGGTCACTGGAGACGATTTTCACTGCTGAGTGCCCCTGTGACTTTCAGCAGTTGGAGATTTTTGTCAGTCCCGTTTGGACATGGTCATAGAAAGACAGAGTGGTTTCTTGGAATAATTTTTCTATCAGGTTAGAACTTTCAGCCACCTTGAGAAAAGAAAGCATCAGATATGTGAGATGGTTTTTATGGTCATTAGCTGTGGCAGTGAGGAATTGTGGCCCCACATCTACTCACACTCTCAGGGCTACCTTACCCACAGAAGAATGACTGGGTAACAAGGGAACAAGAGGACTCCCAAGAAATTGATAAGCTCTTTCCTTCAAACAAGAGGACACTGACACTTACCTGGAGGACCTGCTTACATGGTCATAAAAAATGAAGGATTACTGAAGGAGGAGGAAGTGGGATATGGGGAACCTCTACAGGAATGCGGTAGGCTTAGTTCCTTAACATGGACCAGGTCTTGTGTATCTTTGTGTTCCCGCAAGACCTAGCCCTTCTTAAGTTTTCAGTAAATATTTTGATATTAGCTTACCTGAAGATTTTATACTGTTTATATTTCCTATGATTTATTAGTTTAGAATATAAGCGTATTAAGCAGTGATGAAGCCTGAAAGTAGAGAAAACTTCGGATTGTTTTGAAATAAATGATTTGGAAGGTGTATTTATTCTGATAAAGCAAATACATAGCTGCGATGGGAAAATATCTAATATGAAACTTTCTTCATCTATATGAGTAGATGTGAAGATGGTATTAAAATCTGATGAAAATGCTGCTGTAAACAATGCTAATTTTGTGTGGTCCTTAAATACTGGTGTTTGATAAAGAGCTAACAACCCTAGAAATCTAGCTCCACTCATAGGAAGATACAAGTCCTTGAATTCATGTTAATTGAGAACAGTCAGAATAATTATTGTACTTTTTAAAATGTAAATGTAAATTGATTGCTCGATTTAGTCATTAGTAAATAACCTAACCAAGTCAAACCAAACCATAGCATTGTTTCACTCCCAGTGGATTAAAGGGTTTAATATCAATAGCAGCTGGGTGTGGTGGTGCACCCCTGTATTTCCAGCTACTGGGGAAGCTAAGGTGGGAGGATTGCTTGAGAGCAGGAGTTTGAGGTTACAGTGAGCTGTGATTGCAATACTGCATTACAGCCTGGGTGACAGAGAGCCTGTCTCTAAAAAAAAACAACAACAAAAAAAAAAAAAAAAAAGAAAAAAAATTATCAGTAGCAATCTCATCTTAAAAAAAAGAACAAATTTGGATGCCTTAGAAAGTTCTCCATCACTGCCCAGGCATGGTAACTCACGCCTGTAATCCCAGTACTTTGGGAGGCTGAGGTGGGTGGATCACCTGAGGTCAGGAGTTCGAGACCAGCCTGGCCAACATGGCAAAACCCCATCTTTACTAAAAATGTAAAAATTAGCCAGGCATGGTGGCACGGGTCTGTAGTCTTAGCTACTCGGGAGGCTGAGGCAGGAGGATTGCTTGAACCTGGGAGGCAGAGATTGTGGTTAGCCAAGATCATACCACTGCAGCCTCGCGTAGGCGAGACAGTGAGACTCTGTCTCAAAAAAATAAAAAATAAGTTCTCTATTACCATTAATGGGTGGGTAATGGCAAACCATTGTTTCCCCTTTTTTTTTCAATTTTGAAGTCAGTTATTGAATAAATACAATTTAAAGACCTGTGTATATTCCCCACAACCCTCTTTGAAATTAAGACTTAAGAATTCATATTGGCTGGCGCGGTGGCTCACACCTATAATCCCAGCACTTCGGGAGGCCAAGGTGGGCAGATCACCTGAGGTCGTGAGTTCATAACCAGCCTGACCAATTTGGAGAAACCTCGTCTCTACTAAAAATACAAAATTAGCCAGGCGTAGTGGCGCATGCCTGTAATCCCAGCTACTTGGGAGGCTGAGGCAGGAGAATTGCCTGAACCCGGGAGGTGGAGGTTGCGGTGAGCTGAGGTCGCACCATTGCATTTCAGCCTGGGCAACAAGAGTGAAACTCCATCTCAAAAACAAAGAAAAGCATATTAATAGAGTAACAAAATGGGTGTGACATCAATGTATCATAATAATGATTTTATAACCTAGGATGGGCTTTTGTAAGGGAAAAATGCTATAATTCCTATTTGACTAAAAAAATTACTGGATTTCTAATAATTTGAAAAGAATCTAATTCGATTGAGAATATTTCAGAAAAGTTTAAGTATGTTAAATAATTAGAATTGTAGGAAAATATTGACAGAATAAACTGTATATTTTTTCTTTTTAATAAAGTCCTTTGTGTCTGCTAAACTATATTTTGAACTTGTAATAAAAAGTCATAAACGCAGAGAAGACCAGCTTCATGGGAGCAATAGGTAATCTGGGTATAGAAATTATGCAAGGTGTCAGGCATGGTGGCTTATGCCTGTAATCCCAACACTTTAGGAGGCTGAGGCAGGAGGATCACTTGAGCTCAGGAGTTTGAGACTTGCCTGGCCAACAGAGAGAGACCTCATCTCTA